TTCCGCTACGCTTTCGGCAGTAAAACAGCCGTTCCGCTCGACGCACTTGGAGTTCTGGAGTTAGTGACATAGGGTGTACTGCAATACATACAATACATGCTAACGGTACTGCAACAACTATGAGTAACGCTTGGGAAAGCTACCTGGGGTATTATCCATCCTATGAATTTTCCTTCACTTTTCCACGCCAGAGAGCCCTATGTATCTTCGCCCCAAAAAACAAAACACCTACGAATTGAAAGCCGTAACAATCACGAGTGATTTACGTTACAAAAACACGGTAACTGAAAAACCTACGTTATTTCTCGGATAAAACGTCATTCTAATTCCATTTTGACGTATTCATTCGGAAATCTTGTCATACCGTACATTGATATGGGTTAGAATAAAATTATTAAAGATAACGGAAAAGTACTCTGAGAAAGAAAAAGTTGGTTGACTCAAAGAAATATTCATTGCTAAAACAAAATCCTGCGATTAAATACGTTCGAAGAAATAGCAGATTGAGCGAATCAAATTCGTTTAAATCAATAATATAATTTTTCTTCTCAACAAAATAATTGTTACGTGCAATTATAAATGATTCAGGCAACAGTATATATGTCAAGAATATATATTTATAACCTTTTCTCTTCGGGTATTGCCATTATTTTGCTTTATAGCATTCCATCTTACTATCACCATCTTACTAACACGTTACATGTTACAAATGTCATGTAATTGTGTTTGGTCGGCATGTAACGAAATATAAAGCATATTTATGAAGAACGTGAATTTTGTATAATTTCTATTCGACGTTAAAATAATTTTGACTTCAAAGGTTCTTTACTACATTGCCAGCATAGTTGCCCATAATGTCGTCTACATGGACCATAGAGTAAAGAGAATTAAGAGAGAGCATGTGCCAAGAAACACAGGAAGGTGGACGTAACGAATTTAACGTTCTGAAACCCACCCAAAATGTCTTCTGAATAAGGCCATTTTGTTTGAGATGGTACGCCTCCGGCACATTGCTTTGCTAAAATAATGGAAATTAAATTCCTTTACATAATTTAACCACTGCCCTGCGCTTTATCAAATGTTCCTTTCTATTAATTGTACCCTAGTTTATTAAACAATACATCCATTGTATTCCCATTTATTTTTTAATACGAAAGTACGTGTTGGTTGCGTTCTGAAATCAATAACGTGAATTCATATACCTAATTTCATACTTGTCATTAGATACCAAAAGTTAAAACAAATTATTTTTTAATACGGAAATACGTGTTGGTTGCGTTCTGAAATCAATAACGTGAATTCATATACCTAATTTCATACTTATCATTTAATACCAAAAATTAAAACAAATTATTTTTTAATACGAAAATACGTGTTGGTTGCGTTCCGAAATCAATAGCGTGAATTCATGTACCTAATTTCATACTTATCATTTAATACCAAAATTTAAAACAAATCAGAGGCATGTTTCGGGGTAAACTGAAATTCGCTTCCACTATAAACAACTTAGAATAAACTTCTTATAAGAGTGCTTTACGAGAATAAACTATACTATAGACTACTATAATTATAAATTTACTGTACTATACATTACTGTAACTATAAACTTCTTATAAGAGAGAGTTACCTTCAATAGTTTCAAGGCCAATCCCGAACCTACGGATGACTCATACGTGCATCATGCATGATATTTCTCATCGGTGAAACACGAGGTCTCGGATGGAGTTCCCAACAAGGGATCCGACTCGTCGCATTCGATTAGGGCTGGCCAGAGGGTGGATATTGTGCCCAGGGGCGAATCAAACGACCATCGATGAGACTCCGCCGGCTGATGGAACACAACTGAAACGGAAACTGGCTTTCCCGAAGAGCTCTCCTAGATGAGCGAATCTGTACCCATTCCGAAAAATCCTTTCGGGTAAGAAAGTTTCCTCATACATGATATTTTAAATTAATAGCTCCAGGGTGTCACTAGAGGAATGTATAAACTGATGGAACACAACTGAAACGGAAACTGGCTTTCCCCAAGAGCTCTCCTAGATGAGCGAATCTGTGCCCATTCCGAAAAATCCTTTCGGGTAAGAAAGTTTTCTCATACATGCTATTTTAAATTAATAGCTCCAGAGTGTCACTAGAGGAATGTATAAACTGATGAAATTTTGTATATACATAGATCTTTCTTTTTGACGATTTATGTCGGGTCCAGGTCCATTCATTTATGCGACACGGTAAAAGTAACGTTACGATAATCGTGGAAACCTTCAAATCAGCTGACTCGATTAAAATGCTTTTTTAAAAGGATATTGAACAGAACCGTATGAATTTTTGATACAGGACTCGTGAGCACCTAGGATTTATCCTGATACTTTTGAAATTTTAATTTTTGATTTTTCTACGTTAAAACGATGGTAATACGAGGTCTCGAAGTGAAAATTTGGTTGACATGGAAATCACAGATGGCGCAGGGGGTCCCTCTGCAGTCAATTAGGGCCTCAGAAACGATGAATTCAGAAGATTTCTGGAGTTATACTTCGATTTCTTTACAATTATTGTATGAAAACGACAGATAGAGTATGCCATTTGGTACAATATCCAATATAATTCGACACAGCTGTTAATATAAAAACGAACGTCGGGAACGTAGGTATTTAGAAAAATCTTCTTTATCGACGTCGATCAAGTTCCTCGACGTGTTTCGCTTCACCTTAAGAAGACATGCCTAGGGCTTTGCTTGCATCTAAAAGATTTACATTTTCTCACGCTCTCGAGTGATTTACACGGCGACGTGAATTTTTTACAAGCGATATATTTTACATAACTTAGACGGGAAATTTTCTTTGAACCTGAACTTGATGTTTTCTCTTTGCCGTCCTGAACGACGGAAAAAGAAAAGAAGTTACCTGCATTACCGTCCTTTGCGAGAACTCGCCCAGGTTGACCTAATTTCAAAGGCAACATGGGACATCGAAGTAGAGCATTCTGATTCAATAAATCGATCGAGGGCCCGAAGCAATTTCGATATCCCGATCTTCGTGTGGGTTCTCATTCTTGAGATTTGCCGATGGTACAATAATTACATATCTGAAAACGGGGCCAATAAGTTTAACGCTGATGATAAAGAAACACACTTAACAAGGAAATGATGCGACTATTACAAACATTATCTACATTGCGATATGTTACTTTCTAAACTGGCAGTCTTTGTTTTAAGGTAACGATTAATACAAAAGCATTACATGCAGAGAAAGAGACAAATACAAGTAAACAAAAACCGAGAAGCTTTCCGTAGTTATATTTAAGGTGAAGTGAAACTCGTGGAGGAACTTGTTCATCGTCGTAAAAAAAGGTTTTTATAAGTATCTACGTTGCCAACGTTCGTTTTTATATTGACAGCTGTCAACTTATATTGAGTATTGTACTAAATGGCGTACTCCATATGTCGTTTTTGTACAATACTTATAAAGGAATCGAAATAAAATTCCAAAAATCCCCTGGATTCATGGTTTCTGAGGCCCTAATTGTCTGCAGAGGGACCCCCTGCGCCATCTGTGATTTCCATATGAACTAAATTTTCACTCCGAGACCTCACATTCCTATCGTCTTACCACAGAAGCGCATAAGACACTTTTTTTGCCTTTATCGGGTTCAAATTCGTTTTAATCGATTACCAGAGTGTTCTAAATTGTCGTACAACTGTCCTGACCCTTTCGTCTCTCATATTAGAGCCTTCAATAATTGTATATCGATCGAAATATGAGAGCCCGACGCCATCTTGGTTCTTTCTGGGCTATGTTAAAAGATTTGTTTAAAAAATCCAAATCTTTAAAGTAGCAGGACAATTCCTAGGTGCTCACGAGTCATGTGTCAAAGTCTCAGACAGTTCTATCCAACATCCATAAAAAAAAGTGTCTTATTCGAATCGTCTGATTTGAGGGGGGTTTCACTCACGAGTCATGTGTCAAAGTTTCAGACAGTTCTATCCAACACCCATAAAAAAAAGTGTCTTATCGACCGATTTGAGGGGGGTTTCACTTCACCTTAAAATCCGAATTACTCATCATTTCAGTGTATCGCCTCCTGAGAGTAATTACGCGTCGGTATTCCGCATACGTTCCGTGATCGTCTCAGGGCGAACACGCCGGTCGAAGTTTCGGCCTCGCGATTTTCCGAGAGAGTTAGCTCCGGTCAGTTCGACGCGATTAGCCGGCGGGTCCACCTCTCCTGATTAACTCGATTTAGCCTCGGCTAATGAACTCGCAACGATTCAGCCCTCCGTCCCGGCGTCGCCCGTTTAGCCTAGATACTTGTGCGACAGCCTTAAAAGCCGATAGAAACCCTCCCGTGACCCAACAAAGGATAATGGAGACTAGGGCAAGAGTACACGATGCACCTGCACTTATCGAGGGTTCCTCCTCGGAGCTCATGATTTGCGCCTTTTCTTTTTAATTTAAAGAATGGGGCGAGACCGCGCACATTATTCGACGTAGAGGATAAGTAAACCACCATAGCAATATCACTATTCCTCAGGATTTTTAATACGTGAGCGATATTAAAATAAATGGTAATTATGCATAAAAGGGTGATCCTTTCCGATTTTCATATAATTTTGATATATTGTATAAGACGTCGTCCTAAGTATTATCATTATATATACATATAAGAAAGAACGTGAGGTCTGAATGTAAACAAAGCAATGGAACAAGGAAAGTAGCCGAAAATAGTCAACTATGTAGTATATTTTGCTTTCTTCTCTTCAACTCCGAAAGTATGCAAGTCTATGCATATAGGTATAGTATATATAATATTATATAATAATATTATATTATCTCTATATGTAGGTTAGGTTGTATCTTAGAGAGGTAACACGCTCCGGCATGCTGTATTATTGCTATTCATAAATTGTTTAATAACTCCAAAAATATTCAAGTCCGTTTTGTATCTAATGATTACTATCAGCTGATAGTACGTAACATTTTATTATTTGCAATAATAAGTTTCGATGATTACTGGTTATTGGGCGAGAACTAAAATAGATCAACCATTTATTAACGTATAATTAAGTTAACGGTATGTCGGATACATATTAGAAATATGTTTATCTCTTAGAGGTATAAAAAAATATGAGAAATCGAAAACTAATTTGACTCCGGGCACGACTTCACCCGAGGTTAACGAAGGAGGCATTTTTAGTACGCGAGCATTTCACATCGTAAATAACGTCGTCATACAATTGCGCTCGCACGTGCCTGTACGCATTCTCTCGAACGACCGTACTCGCACATGCACTCTTTCATTTGAAATCGTTATCGAGGGTGGCAAGTATATTCATGGAAATGGTCGCGCTCCGGCCTCTCTCTACGGTCTTGCATTGAATTGCTTGCAATTAAAGGTTTTAACTTACCCAGTAAACGTTCTATTCAACTAATATCGCACCTCGGGGTTTTCTCCTTCCTTTTACTCGACGATGGGTTTTGCTAATAAATCAAAGCGAGTTACCCCCATCGAACGGAAATAACAAAAGAGATTCCCTTCTCGACATGATTCCAATTCTTGACAATGTTCATGTTTCTACGTACAAGTACAAGAAACCACATCAATGCCATTGAGATGGTTAGAAAAACTCCCTTCTTTGATTAAGGTTTAAACTTGCGCTACGTTTAATTGTGCTAATTATGAAAGTGGTCTAAGTCATATATTTTTTGTTTCGAAATTATATTGAATTAATTTCGTTTGAAATAATATGGCGTGAAATAACTGATAAACTCATTTTTTTTTTTAATTTTGTCTTGGACCACTTTCATAATTATGGGCACAATTGGCAACCTTAAAAAGCCCGTGGTAATTTCTTTACCAAAACGTTTACTCATGGCTTAACCGATAACTAATAAAAATAGTAGCAAATCTAAATGTATATTTCCCTGTTATTTCGCAACTTCGTTCCTATTGTTATAAGATTCTACTGGCCCTTGTAACTTTTATCAGGCGGATATGTGTTCATGTGAGCATGCGACTCATGAGTTATTATTTCTTTCTTCCAAAATGTGTTACGGATTAAGAAAAATTGGATCCTGGCTGTTTACAGGCTGCTGTTACAAGTAATTATTTCTATCTTTCATTGGTTCCCCTCACGCAGACTTTTTAAAGTGTAACCTCAGTATCATGGAAATCAATTTCTTCTCTTTCTAATTGCCTATACATTGAAACAATAACATGTTCTGCATCTGAAGGTGATTGAGTTCTGTAACCCTCAAATAATAACGTTTGTCGCGGCTTTTTATGATATTACATTTAACATAATTCAGTTTCATTGTTCAACCTTCTCAAGGCATTACTAAATGCATGCATTATCTTTTCTGCGGCTTATCCAGCAGTAAAGAATTATCAAAAAGCGCATTAATTAGTACAGAATTAAAATTTGTACGATTCAGTGACCACCCAATTACTATATTCGCGATTACAATAGAATCCTATCTGTAATCATTACCGCGCTTCTTTCAATGAATTTTTCTTTTCAATGGAAGACAATTGTGCGTCCCATTCCGATTTTCAATATGAAATTACAAACACAGCAATTTTTCTTTCGCAATTTGCGTTGAGTACAACATAAAAAAATGCATCGATTAGTTGGGACCATACAAAAGCGTTTGTCCCGAAAAACAAATGACCTACCAAATTGATGACATTGTTATGCCTAAATTTACATCCCATTGTAAGCCGGTCCACCTCCACCTTCGGGAACTACCCAATTAATGTTCTGACTTGGGTCCTTGATGTCACAGGTTTTGCAATGAATGCAATTCTGGGCATTGATTTGTAGTCTCTCTCCAGTACCCTCTTCCAATGGTACAAACTCGTAGACCCCTGGAACAAAAAATTAATCAATTGAGATACGTATATCCAGTAATACACAAGGCAAGTTCCGTCAAACATATAAACGATACCAGTGATTGCTGGTGACATAATTTTTAATCGAAAGGGGAAAGCAATTGAAAACGGGTATTCTGTCCAAAGCGGATACATGTTCAATTTTCATTTTACCGCCATTGACCAATTAAAATACTCAACAGTACGAAGATTAAGTAAAAGACTTCAATATAAATATAAATGTCAGTAAGTGACGCGTCAGCTTATGTTACCACTTGAGGATTCGAAACGGCGTTCTCGCCAAAAAGGGTATAGATGAATTTCAATTTATCGACCTGGATTAAATTTCTCAGCGCCTTTCATATCATCTTAACGCAGTCGATTTCAGCTTAAAGAAACATTTCGCAACTCCAGTTCGAAGCAATCGTTGCGCCCATTGATGGAAATAATTACGTTGACTCGGTAGAAGTAGATCGGCAGGTGCAATTCCGTTCGATCGGGCGAACTTTTTCACCGGTGGAAAGTGTGATAAACCGGACAGAGAGAGGTAAGAAGGAAATTAAATTAATCGTTGCAGTCCTAATGGATCCGAGCCACAGCTATCGCGTGGTACTCTCATCCCGTCTGCTTTCAGGGATGCCAAGCACCCCCGTCCCGGTCTTCATTAACGACGTAAATACACCGACACACCACTTTCCCTACACACACGCGTACGACCACACGGAAGTGATCGCACGGAAGTAACAAGAAGCTCGAACGAAAGAATGGATTCCCTCCTTTCCCACTTGTTCGGCATTTTATCCTGACCGGCGGTGACAGGCGGACGTAAATTAACGGGTCTCGTTACTCTTTCGATCCAACTTTTCCTCCTTTTTCCTCCTTTTTTTTCCATCCAACCGAATACGGGCTCCCCGTATAATAGCTGCAATTCTGCACGATCCACCGATTGCATGTATGTGTAAAAGAATGCCGATAAAGTACATCTCGGTACGCGCGAGTCGTCCGAATGACATTTGCTTACCATTCTTGTGCGGCGGTACTGAGTACTTCTAAAGCGTTTTAATTTAGTCTTATATAAACTATATATATCGGTGAGCAGTATCCGGATAATATATCCAGATTCTGTACCTTTGAACCGGAAACATTCTATTCGTAGGAACGCCACAGCTTCAAATTATATATTACTGCTAAGTGAAAAAAATCCTTAACACCGATCCCAGGGGATAAGCAGGAATTAACTGCGGCCGGAAAACATTTTCAACTCCAATGTTCTAATGTGCTTTTAATGCTCTCCAATGTTCTTTTTTGTGGGATGAATAAATTCTGTCTTAGCGATGAAAATCGCAGGATGAGACCTCGGAGAAAGTTTCGGAAGGACCTCCGAGGATAGGTTGAGAGGGGTTGCATTTTGCAATGCAGTCGATTGGGGGGCAAAGGAACGTAGAAAGGAAAGTTAGTGCAGTGAAGGTGTAGGTGGGGACTGCAAAATGGACTCCTGGAGAAGTACTTCTGAGAAGGAACTCGGAAAAGGACCACAGGAATATGGGGACAAATTGCCCCTTATCAAGTACGTGACGGAATTAACAAAGCGAGGCTTAGGCGCTAATGAAATAGATCGTCCTTCTCGGAAGGTTTAGAAAAGCCTGCGACTTAATGGTCTCCATGTGAGTCGAGAGCGACAGAAGGACGCCCTTAAAAAAGAGACCTCTAAAACATCGAAAAAGGGAGACGAGCGTCTTGACCACGAGGGTTCTATGGCGGTCCTTTACCCTTAGCGGAGAGGTTATGATGGCGCGATTCGAGCGCGGGTCCGCTCGTACTGTTAGCCTAGTCGAATTTAATTACTAATTAATCTAAATCTAATTCTAAATTAACGCTACGGTATTGGATCAATCGAGGACGATCCACAAGCGGATCTTCACAGGGGGCAGCGTCCTACGGCCAATGGCCGTCACTCTCGACATCCCTCGGGGACTCTTTCTGGCGTTGGTGGTAGAAAATATGTAATACCGATAATGCATCCCGAGAGCAGTCGGTCGATCCCGTGGGAACGGAGGTCGGCTTCCTCGACTCTTGCCGGATACGATGGGACGTGCATACATAGCCAGGAGCGTACATCGGCTCGTTTACAATGACGGGCCTCGCCTCGCAACCTTCGGCGAGTGAAAAGCGCCATCTGCGAGCCGGCGAGCACACTAGGGAGGAATTCCACGTCGGCGTGGTAGTCGGTCTGGCGGTCCCTCGGCCCTCTCGCGGCGGCGCCTCGCACCCTTCTGCCGCCCCCAGCCCCTTGCCAAGCTCTATTATTGGACTGGGTCACTGGAGGGGGCGAAAGGAAGCCGAAGAGGCGGAAACTCGCGTTGACATTTGCACTCGGAGGCTTCGATTAGCCGAATTGTTTTAAGAAGTGCAATTTCTAAGAAATTAAATTTTTCCAAAATGAAACAAATCTATAATGGACGTTTTATTCGAATGTATTACGTAGAGGAACCTAGGGCACGTGTTTCATACATAGTTACTATAAAAACAGAATAACGTCTACCAGCAAGCTCTTGGAAGTCCTTCCCGGTTTCTTTCAAGATTAAAGCCCCGAAGAATGTTGGCTCTGGCTGCTAGGGGAAACAAGATAAATCTATGATAGAAATTTTATGTGAAATTACTACAAAGAGGAAGCCAAGGTACACATTTCGTATGTAGTTACTGTAAAGCCAGAGTAACGTGCACTGGCTAAGTCCTGGAAGTCTTTCCCAGCTTCTTTCAAGAGTCCCGGAGAATGTAAACTTTGCTCAGCGAGTGAAAAATGAGATAAATCTATATTAAAAGTTTTAGATCGGATTACTACGAAAGTGAAACCAGAGTGCAAGTCTTACGCGTAGGTGCAATAAAAGTAAAAAAAAAGAAGAAAGAAAAAAGGTGTACTCGTGGCGTTGAGGAACGCCACGTGCATTATGAAAGGTAACGAAGTTTCTAAGTCCCCGTGAAACCACAATATAGGCGCTCCATACTTTCAGGTAAACAATTAAAAGAGACTATCGGATTTTATTGAACCCCCCATCAGGAAATAAAATCCATTGGTCTTTACGACGACAGTCATTTAATCGCGACGGACTAATTATTTTCTATCGATTTGTATACATTTTGTATCAATCGATTGTTATGAAAGAGCTTGGCTTCGTCGCCTGTCGAGTTCAAAGGACAGACAATAACTAGTATTCTTAAAATCGTCAAATGATAATGAACAGTGATTTCATACAGAGCCCCTTAAAGTGATGTGAAAGTGGCGTCGTAGAGGTTTAGTTTATAAAACTTTTCTCCAAACTCGGTTTACCGAATAGTTTGAAACTTTACAACGAGAACAGGAAGACTATAAGGAAGGTTCTGAAACTCACGGAATTCCAATTCTTTTCAAATTTCTTCATAAATATTATAAAAATAGTGTGTAAAAAGTGAAATTTCGCGAGTTTCAGGACCTACCTTAGTGTCTCCATATTCACGTTTTAAAGCATGAAACGATTTGAGACACCCAGTTCTATGAAAAGTTTTATGAACGATCGAGCTTTCGGATGCCACTTTCACATCCCCTTAAGGCGAGCGGCGCGGTTCCGAACCGGGCACTCTTCCAGACAGTCGATAACCCGACCTCACCCTCTGGCTTCCACCAGACGTCGGGTGGTTGCAGGGAAACAACCCCCGGCGTTCCGCTCGTCGGCGACGCTGCCCCTCTCTCCTTCGCCTTGGCCGGGTTCTCGCGCGAGGGAGATTTCTCGCGGGGGGTGCAAGAGCTTTCGGCGGGAACCAAGACGGTGGCACCCGAGGGTGGCGAACGCCGAACGGGGAGAAAGGCGACGATGCCGCCCCGGGAATAGTCAGGGGTGGCACAAATTTGTCTGCCGAGCGAATGGCTCCTACGCGGAGTTACCGGGAACAATGCGCTGGGTTGCCTCGTGGTTAACACGTGTCTTTAGAGCGAAAATTTAGTTGTATCTAAACGTCACAGATGGCGACATTGGTCCTAAACAGTCGTTAGAATAATGAATTCACGGGATTTCGACAGTTTTACATCGATCTCTTGATCATTATTTTACCAAAATGACATATGGAACGATTCATTTCGTACAATTCTCAACGTAGACTGTAAAAGACTTCAACATAAATATAAATGTCGGTAACGAGACGCGCCAGCTTCGTCACCACGTATTCGGTATGGCATTACCACCAAACAGGGTATAGATGAATTTAATTCTCATCGATTAGATTTCTCAGCGCCTTTCATATCATCTTAAAAGAGCAAACATTTAACCATGAAACTTCTACATTTCACAGTGAGTCGTCTACAAAGAGATTGCCCCGAATAACATTTCGCAATTCGACAAAATCCCCGATTTAATATTTACCGACCATCACCGCGGTGACAAAAGCCATCTGCTATTTTCCCAGTTTGTCTTTTTCCACTTTTTCTTTCCCGTCTAATTTAACGAGCTTAATTATTCATTAAGATTTCCTCCTGAAAATACCCTACGGCTCCGAAGTCTCGCCGGTGCGTGTAAACTGGTTAAGTAATGAATCTCGCTTTCTCCCTTTCCCTCTGCCTGCTTCTCTGGGTGATTCGGTCGGTGCTCTGCTCTCCGGAACCGTACTCGGGGCGAACGGCCACGTCTGGAAGTTTGCCATCCCTGGGTTGCCCTTCCTCTTCCGCTTCGCGGGAGGTCCCACCCCCGCCAACGCTCCCCTCTTTTTCACTCTTGCCGGGAGTATCGACCGGTGTGTCCTTGAACCTGAGCTGCCCGGACGGCCCCCGCTAGACTAGACAACCCCCGACCAAGCTCAACCCCCGAAACCGGCGCGTCCCTTGTTCCGTTCGGCCATTTTCCATCGACTCTGCGATTCTCGGCGTCCCACCACCTACAAACGATCGCATCGCATTTTCATTCTCTGCGCATGCGTAAACGATGGTGGCCTGGCGAAAAGGTGCCCGACGGACGCGTTACAAAGCGGGATATACAACCCTTCTTGAGAAATTAAATGACAGCGATTACAAGAGTGTCCGCAGTACCAAGCTAGGTATGCCTCATTTGATTTTAGCTTGTTCCTTTGTCACCGAAACGAATATATTCAAACATAGCCAGTGGAAGTACTAAAAGTACGTAGAGTTTATGGAAGTTACTTTGGACCATTTTTTTAATCCTCTTTAAATTAAAACCTTTCTGTTGAAAAATTAAATGACAGCGATGATAAGAGTGTCCCGGAGTACCAAGCTAGATATGTCTCATTTAATTTTAGCTTGTTCCTTTGTCACCGAATATATTCAAACGTGGCCAGTGGAAGTACTAAGAGTACGTAGAGTTTATGGAAGTTACTTTGGACCATTTTTTTAATCCTCTTTAAATTAAAACCTTTCTCTTGAAAAATTAAATGACAGCGATGATAAGAGTGTCCCGGAGTACCAAGCTAGATATGCCTCATTTGACTTTGGTTTATTCCTTTGTCACCGAAAGGAAAATATTCAAACGTAGCCAGTGGAAGTACTAAGAGTACGTAGAGTTTATGAACGTTACTTTGGACCATTTTTTTTAATCCTCTTTAAATTAAAACCTTCTCTTGAAAAATTAAATAACAGCGATGATAAGAGTGTCCGGAGTACCAAACTAGATATGCCTCATTTAACTTTGGCGTATTCCTTTGTCATCGAAACAAAAATATTAAATATTCAAACGTGGCCAGTGGAAGTACTAAAAGTACTTAGAGTTTATGGAAGTTACTTCGGCTTGTCCAGACAGACCGCGAACTAAGCTTTGTGACGCCATCGACCTCCGAAAACCGTCCTTTATGATTCCGTCATGACTTCCCTGAAAGCGTATAACTGGCCCGTACGTTTACCTAAATTTCCCTCCTATGTAATGCGTCCTTAATTGCATTATTCAAAGGATCCTCCGCCACGTCGAATGAACGCAGTCAGAGCTGCTTTCGCTACGCGAGCTTTTACGCCCTGCCGGCGGCATAAAAGCTCTCTTGAATACCTGCTAATTAGGACTTAGTGCTCGATATCGAATTTCGAAATCTTTTTTGCCGTTCGTCAGTGTCTCGAAAAAAGTGGATTTTAATAGTGAAAGGAATGGTGAGCTATAGGATAGTGCTAAGAACGACGATGGACGTCACTATACTCCTTTGATAAGCAAATGGCCATCACCAAAGATGCTTTTAACAGAAGTAGACCCGAATCACTGTTTCAATATTGTACAAGGAAATAACCTAAGAACCCTTAAATGGAAAACCTGAACGAAACCGCGAGGGATTTTTCCCCCTGTGTACGTGCATTTTTCAAAATGTGAAAAAGCAATACTCAGGTCATATGCGAAAAATTACATTACATGGACGCGGTTACAAACGCACGAGGAAACCCGGTAAAAAAAGAAGCAAGACACCGTAGCTATAAATTTGCAATGTGCTTCCGTTGTACGCGAAAACGTAAATTTCATTTCTGGTAAGTTTCACGTTTTACCAATTACCCGTTAGAAAAATTCTTCTCGTGTTATTTGTTAATCATTACGTTGAATTTCCAAGATAGGCAAATGGAATACTTGAAACGCCTGTGCTCTCGGCGCGCGTTGTTCAATTACTTTATTTATACGAGTTTTTGTTATTTAATTAGAGACCGAGGTGCGCACTTGTTAGTCGATTATACCGCGAATTTCTCAACCAGGGTAATCGTAATTTCGCCGGCAGACTTGAGAAATTTTTCACCGCCGACTAAAAAGTCGTCGACGCGCAGTGCCAGATTGGATTGGGCCTGCAAAAAATTGCATCCCTCCTAGAATAAGAAGAAAATGAGAGGGAAATCCCACGCGTTTCAATATTTTCTCGGCGCTCCCTCCCGCGAGGCAACTCGAGGCCGTTGCGTGCCGGGGTGATAAGGGCGAACATTGAAAACAGACTTCTGCCAGCGATTACATTTGCACGAGTTCCTTTGGAGACTCTCGACGTTTAATTAATACCACTCAATTTTTCAACCCCACGCTTCATCCGCGAGAAACTGCACCCTCGGGAGGGCGAGACGGAGGAATAATTTTCCAGAAATAGATCATCGGTGGGTGCCGTATTGGTGGATATGGGGTGAGCTCTCGTGATAAGAACAACTGTATCGCCTGGATTATTTTTCCTTCTAAGTAATCGAGGTATAACCTAATCGAACACAGTAGATTATTTAATATCGTCTCAATACTGGCGTACTGTTCTGAAAAATTATGCTCCCTGGGGACCACGGTCGTAGATAGAGGTCGATAGTTCATATTATATAGAGTTCATATTCATTAGTTTCTATCAATTTTAAAAGCTACACTGAGATACCTTCAAATTTACTCAGTAATATTTGAAAGATATTTTTGGGAATTGTTTGCTATTTTTTCTGTTTAGTATTCGTGCAGATATTAAATGGAAGAAAAATATATATCTACTAAGTAGAAATTCCCAAGATTACCTCTTTTTACATGTTAGTGATCGCATAAATCGAATTTGAAGTACTCACCAGCAGGGCAGAAACGTCCTTCCGGTCCGTCAAAGATAGCCAAGTTCTTTTTGACTGGAACCGTGTCATCCATTAAAGTGAGGTGTGGAGGTTGGTCGCTTTCATGATTCGTTCCGGTCAAAGCTACCGACGATAGAAGATCAAAGGAAACTTCATTATCGGGTTTCGGGTAATCAATTGGCGTGCACTGTGCAGCTGGTTTGAGTCTCTTGTGATCCGGACCTAAAAAGTACAAAAGTCCATTTTAAATCTACTTCTTTTAAAAAGTATAATTTATACCCTTAAATTAGTTATTGCATGGAATACTGACCACCGTGTGAAAACGTCCATGGTTCTCTGCCGCCCACTAACATTGAAAAACCAGAATACAAGATACCGCCATATAATCCAAGAGGCGTATGAAAGCTTGGCCTAATATTTCTCACAGCTTTCAATTCTTTGTAAATCCAACTTTTCTCAAACTTGTCTGTGTACGTAATAGGTTCTAAGCCCTTTGTAGGTGAACCATTAGATTCTGCATTAACAATGGCTTCAATAACACTTTCAGCTGCTAACATGCCACTTTTCATTGCATTGTGAGTGCCTTTAATTTTTGGTACATTCAGAAAACCAGCAGTGCATCCAATTAAACATCCACCAGGGAACTGAAGTTTTGGAATTGATTGAAATCCTCCTTCTACCAAGGCTCGCGCTCCATATGCTACCCTAAATTAAAGAAAAAATGTTAATGTCCCTAAGAATATTTATTTTTTATTACTGTACCAGTACACATTAATTAATTTTAATATTAATGACGAGAACAAAATTTATTCTAAAGTAATGGTATAAAATTGAAAAAAAATATTAAAACTAAATTCGATCTACTTTACGATATCAAATGCATCATGAGAAACATACCTCTTTCCTCCTTCGAATGTTGGTCTAATTGACGGATGTTGTTTAAATCTTTGGAATTCTTTAAATGGGTGCAAATACGGATTGGTATAGTCCAATCCTATAACAAAGCCAACAGCAACCATTGGTGTATCTTCGTTTAAGTGATATAAGAATGATCCGCCATAAGTATTTTTATTTAATGGCCAGCCAGCTGTATGTTCGACTGCTCCTGGTCTGTGCTTTGATGGCTCAATTTCCCAGATCTATAAAATACTATTTTTCATTCCACATTTCATCTCTTTGAACTTTATACATGAGACTTACGGTACCGTACCTCCTTAAGGCCAATGCCATAAGTCTGTGGCTCACATTTTTCTCTTAGATTTAACTTTTTAGAGATTTGCTTTGTCAGATGACCATGACAACCTTCAGCAAAAATGGTACACTTAGCATGAAGCTCCATGCCTCGTTCAAAAGTTTCCTTTGGAGAACCATCCTTAGTAATTCCAACGTCATTTGTTGCTATCCCCTTTACCGATCCATCTTCATGATACAGAATTTCAGCTGCTGCGTAGCCAGGATAAATTTCAACTCCTGCAGCTTCTGCCTGTTCACCAAGCCAAGAAACTACGTGACCTAATCTGCAAATAGTTTCATTTCAAATAAAAAATTTACTAATGCTACTGACATAGTATTTGCTTTTCTTACCGTACGACGTAGTTTCCATGATTGTACATAGGCATTCCTTTCAGGATTGGTATTGGTATCCTGCCTTTCTCAGTAAGAATAGCAAATTTATCTTCAGTTACAGGCGTCTTCAAAGGAGCGCCTAGTTCTTTCCAATTTGGAATTAGTTCATTCAATGCTATAGGATCTATACAGGCTCCGCTGAGAATATGACCACCAATTGTGGATGCCTTTTCAACCAAAGTTACTTTTAACTCCTTGCCATGCTTTTCTGCGAGTTTACGAGCATGAATAGCTGCAGACATTCCAGCAGGTCCTCCACCGACTATCAAGATGTCCGTTTCGTCTGAGAATCTTTCCATATTTATACCTGCAACAAAACATTTACACCTATTTGTGAAACTGATGTTTTTAAATAAAATAAAAATAGTTGAAAGTAGACGTTGCATTACCTTTCCATCTTGGATCGGACTCCCTTGGAACAACGGTATAATGAGTTGTAATTTTTGGAAACGCAGTTTCTGAGTAAAACCTTTTCGAGGCCTGCTGTAGCTGCTGTACTGTCAACGAAAGTTTGTATTAATATTCCGAAACCATTATCGACCGATACTTTCAGATTTTATAACGATCGTATTCATTTACTGCCTATTGCAAAGTTAAAACAAAACTAATAAAGTATTTGATATTATTCGACTCAACCTTCAAACTATAGTTCCATCGTAATTAAATGAAATATATGCTCGTAAGAAAGTTATATACTGATTCAGCTAAGACAAGCCATATTTACAAAATCTAGGTCAAATCTAGAACCTTACGAAACAACTGTTCTTGAAATAAATAAATATCTTTGAGATATCAACATTTTTATGCCCAAGAAACAGCGAACCAAGAAAACGAATTTAGTACTTCGTACTTCGAAATAGTTCGCGACTGCGCGATGTTCTCAATTCAACACAAATGTACTTTGACCCCTTACATAATGCAAGTATATTTCAATTGGTATATGTTGGTCAATGTATTTCGGTATGAAAAAAGAATCGAGGACGAATGACAGCCGTCAATTTATCTCAAGCGTTACAAAATAACTTGTCAGCGACAGGAAATTACATCATTAAAAAGAACTTTTACCAATCGAAATGTTTAATCGCACTCGATCGAATATGATCAGTAGATATCGAAAGTATCGAAATAAACTTTCGATAGGTTGCGACGAGTTGACGGGGAAGGCCACGCATATTAACGGAACTGAAACGTCTGATTAAAAACGTTATTCAAGTTGCTCGCGGAAATGATAATCGAACTGGAAAATCGAGATTCAAAGCTTCGAATAATCGAGCCTCGACCGTAGCTTACCGATTTTCGACGAGCCGAACAGTGCGCAAGCCATGGCCTCGCGCCGATACTCGCGGACTACTTTAGTAAACGGTCAGAACAGTCAACACCGTCTGCAAGTCGTCTAGAGGCGGGGTGTTTTTACTTCTCTCTCGGATAATAGCCATCGCACGAAAATTATCGCCACGTGGGTACCAAGTGCAATTAGACAAAGCGTAGAGGTGACATCTGACGGATTGGAACGGAACTACGTAAGTTACAATACCGTCAGTAGATACTTTGAGAAAGAACATTTATCACGACAGCAAAAATACGTTTCGTAAACATCAGGCGGAAATAATTTGAAAATTAAAAGATCTTGGACAAAAAAATTATGGATTCACGGTTATAGCATTGACGCTATATCGATAATACCTCAAGCGTAAAAGGGAAGTATTACGAAAATTTAGTTGATAAAACTATGGTCGATATTACCTACATGGTAGAGGATACAATTTATGTCTTTTTGATTAGTAGCCTTGGCGCAGGATGGTGCCACAGTTGGAATCTAGGTTCTATTAGATTTTACGAAAAATTGTATGCACCGCAACACCACGCATATTAAAACCATAAGGTGTCATGAAAATGTGATTCTATATGTATCAAAGCGTCAAAGTGTTTATAAAATTCTTCTTCGAACTAGGTGCACCGAATCATTTGAAACTTCAGCACGTCTATTATAGACTATTGATGAAACTTTTAATTCGCGCGCCTATCATACATTACTGCCTTCCTTCACTATCAGCTGTGCGTTTTTAAATTTGCATATTGAGGCTTTACTCGCTAAAGAAAGGAACATTCGCATGTAACAAAGTAAAGAAAATTTTGTCTCCTCTGTAGGCACTGAGGATCGATTTCATATCGCGATGTTGACAAAGGAACATCCGTAATCGTTACCCACGTACTTCCTATTCACTCACCGAGTACTCCAATTGTATTATTCATGAAATATCGAAGGAGTCCTCGACTTTAGTCGACCAAAGTGGCTCGACTGGAATCGATCGATCCCTCAACTCGCATTTTCACCTGGCAACAACGACGAGATATTTGATTTCAAAGATAGACGACAGTCTGTTAAGGTGAAGTTAAACTCCCCTGAAATCAGTCAAAATATTTCATATTTTTTACTTTTAATAAAACATTACCGACTCTACGTATCGTCGCATTGCCATATCAATTTAATATGTAGTGTCTAAAATGCATACGTTTCGTTTTGCTATATCTGAAAACAAAACATGCTACGAAGGCAGTTTCGAGAACAATGCCATTATTGTTATCTAAGTCGACGTTAAACCTCCGAAGTTCATTCATCATTTCATAAAATATGATCTTTTATATTTTACATTTTACTCTTCATCCCTGAACCTTCGGAACCTTTAAAAAATAAAAATGCTCCATTATGTCAAATGTCAGCGAAAACGTGAGATCGCATAAAAGCGTTTTTTTAGGCACCAAACGGAGAGGTGAATGCGACGACCAGTCGGAAACCTCTCACTTGATTTAACGTCAGCTTAAATCGTTTTTGCATTTTTTCGTTCTTAAGGGTGAAAAAGTTCACCCTCGTGGAACGAATCAAACGAGCCGACAACGCCTATTCTCGGAGTCTGGTAGGGTTTTCCAGTGACTACTTGGTCCGTGCGTTCTCCAAGTACGCTCTCGAGAAATATCTTGCTAGCACTTCGGAGAACGTACGGGCGTATGTAACCGCGAAACTACACCGGGGACGTCCCTACTTATCACGCCTTCTGGATCAGGGCCAAACCTCGCCGGTCGTTGTTAGTCGGGGACCAAGGACAAAACTCCTTCCTCTTTGGCGCGCGAGCTTTTTGGGAGCTACGTCTGCTCGTTCAGGGGAGGTCATAGACCTTAAGGGGATGTGAAAGTGGCATCGGAAAGTTCAATCGTTCAGAAAACTTTTCATAGAACTGTATGTCTCAAATCGTTTCGTACTTTAAAACGTGAATATGGCGAAATTTAATTTTTTATAAACTATTTTTCAAATATCTATGAACAAATTTGAAAGGAACTGAAATTTCATGAGTTTCAAGACCTTCCTTATAGTCTCCCTATTCAGGTTGCAAAGTTTCAAACTATTCGGTAAGCCAAGTTGGGAGAAAAGTCAATATTAAATGATAAATTATTTCCAAATAATTCACATACATTGCATTGGACCATAAAGTATATTTAACTACAGTCTAATAAGATTTTTTTTCATCTCTAGTTTAATTTAATATGCACCGGTTTTGTGCACGTTAGATGTGTAAACGTGATTTCGGTATTCGACATTGTACTTGAATAAATTAGATATATAAAAATTTCGAAAAAACAAAGAAAAAAAAGGGTGAAGCATTTAAAAGCACAAGACTCGAACTAATTACAAAGATTTATTGGTTTCACGTAATGAGATCCGTCTTAGTACAAACCTCAAGATATGCGATTTCTTAAAAGGGAGGTATTTTTTATACCGTGCGTATCTATATCGCGTCTCGGATTATATCAGAAATTAAACATTGTTTAAGCATTCAATCAACCGTTATCAATGATAACTGTCCGAAGTTCACTCCATCAATTCGAGGGGATCCACAAAGGAATGTACAAACGCAATTTCAATATTCGAATTGACTTCATGATTATTTCGGATGTACTGCGGAAGCAGGTATTTCGGAAAAAAGACTCTTACACTGAAATAGATTGCATCCACAAATGCAGGAAGGACACTGACTGTCTCTTGGCAACTCATCTCAACTGCGTTACTCAACGTCGTTCACCGTGAAACATGTCGGCAAAGTTAAATCAGAGTGAACCAATTAGTTATGCTCGGGAATACCATTCAGACAATTTCTGCATTCATTTTTCCACGCGCGTAATGAATTATATAAAAAATGGATTTTACTACAATTAAATGTACTTCGCGTAATACCGCGCGAATGAATGAAACCAATTTTAGAATCCCTTATTACCATAATTTCAAAATGAATGAAGCATATGGATCTACCATTCAAATATTTGGCAAGATATCTCTTTTGCTTTAAGTTACCAAGAAGTAACTCGTCATTCTTGAAAATTCAAAAGTATACATGATGTAGTTGTCAAAACAATGAGAAGTACCAATGATTTAGGAATTCTTGCCAAATTCGCAATGTCAAAGAATGAATATGTTCAGCATGTTACTACTTATAGAAATACAACATCAAGAAACAAAGAACCACTTTTGACATTTTCATGCACGTCCAAAATCACGAAAATGGCATTCCAAGCTTCGGATCATATAATATGTAATATTAATTATGTAATAACAACATGCTGCTTGTTTGTTTGCTCTGCCTGCCTTGAAAAAATGTCCTTCAGTAGATAGTAAGAAAACTTTGTAAAGAGATTGCAAATGACGTACCAATGATTTAGGAATTCTTGCCAAATTCGCAATGTCAAAGAATGAATATGTTCAGCATGTTACTACGTATAGAAATACAACATCAAGAAACAAAGAACCACTTTTGACATTTTCATGCACGTCCAAAATCATGAAAATGGCATTCCAAACTTCGGATCATATAATATGTAATATTAATTATGTAATAACAACATGCTGCTTGTTTGTTTGCTCTGCCTGCCTTGAAAAAATGTCCTTCAGTAGATAGTAAGAAAAAATACAACATCAAGAAACAAAGAACCACTTTTTGACATTTTCATGCACGTCCAAAATCACGAAAATGGCATTCCAAACTTTGGATCATATAATATGTAATATTAATTATGTAATAACAACATGCTGCTTGTTTGTTTGCTCTGCCTGCCTTGAAAAAATGTCCTTCAGTAGATAGTAAGAAAACTTTGTAAAGAGATTCCAAATGACGTAAGGCATTTCGAAACAGGAATCATTAGCGAATTATAAAACTGCACTTCTCGAAATTCATATCTTGACAATTAACCATGTCGCAGTCAGTTTAGCTAAATTCTTTCCACGAGGAATTTCACCACATTACTACGGTGGTTCCGGGAATTCTTAGGAAAACGCTATTTGCTGTTATTGGCACATGTCTCGTACCAAGTTCTGCACGCGTTTACAATAATGTACACTTAACATGTGCCGAAGTTTCATACAGATGTTTTCCACGTAACTGTCTTTTTGAAACACTCGGTACTGAAAATTATGCCATGGCTTGCGTTGCAGACAAACGCAGAACATTATGCCGCAAAATCCACGTTTTTGGTTGCTGTCGTAATTCGATAATGGTTATCATCGCAGAAGTCGCTGGATGTTATTCGCATGATGAGCATGCACATGGAGATTAACGATTCCCTCGATGACATTGCAAAGTTTCCGGTATTAATATGCATTTAAATTGTAATCTATGTTGTCCGAACTAGAGTCAACGCAATCAATTTTAATGTACCTAAAATTAAAGATAACAACAATTGAAGTGACGTCAAAGTGGCGTCAGAGATCTCGTTTATGAAACTTTTCTCCCAACTAGGTGCACCGAATCGCTTCAAACTTTATAATGTCAATATGAAAGTTTCATGAACAATCGACCCCCTAAATAACGCATTCACGTCCCCTTAAGACAGATCTGATTTAAAAAGGTGCACTTAGGTAATTACCTAAGAAATTAATAATAATTAATTAAAACTAAAACTTGGAAATGTAATTCACTGAAAAATAACAATCTGTGCTAAGATACATTACATGCGTTACATTAAATTATTATGTATTCTTGCTTTTCACTCCAAGTGAGGCCTCACTGTAATTCCTCGAAATAAATTTATGAGTTCAGTACATATATTCGTACATGCGCGAATACTAGAATGGTTGAGGAGGAGCATACACATATTTGTAGCAATTTTAAATTAGGAGAGACTCTGAAATTCTTTTCAAAGTTTTTATTCATTGGCAAAGCCATTGTCGGGATACCGGAATCTCGAAGGTTCCGAGTGAAACTACGACTCGGTGCATCCGTGCGTGTCTTTTTTCTGCCCGCTGGTATTGCAATTGCGCTCTAAACTCACGCGCATCGTGGTCTCGCGCGTGATGTCACGCGTTGCATGGTGGCGCTAGCCGTGGCAGACACAGCGACTCCTGCGCGCGGCAATCGGCCGACTGCGCACGCGCG